TTCCCCATGCCCATTAATTATAGTGAAAATTCTCTTATCCAAATGTACTCAACCTCCCCTACCACACACAAACAATTAAAGCTTTGCTGAATTAAGAGTTCTAAACAAAATCCCAGGGAACTACAGCTTTAGAAGTAAAGAACCTTTTCATAATAATTTTAAAATATTTTTGCTCTGAACTTAAGTATCATTCTACCTGTTATAAAAATAGAAGTAGTGAAGGTTTCTGAAGAAGAAAATAACCAAATTCCTCTTGCACTTGTGCAAGGTCTTCTAAAGCTCCTTCTGAAGCACTACTTAAAAATTACTGTGGTAGTAAGTGCTGTTCTCTCTGAAGTACATTTCAAGACATTCTGAAGTTAGCTGCACTCATACTTTATACACTTAAGATTCAAAAGTGCAATACATCAAGGTGTGCATTCCCCCCATCCTTAGTGCTTGCAGCCCTCAGTGTAGATAAGGCCCTACACATTTTGAGTGTACCATAAAGGGTTCAACAAAATCATATTCACTACCCTGCAGTAAGTAAGGCAAGTACTGGATATCTAGTTGTACTTCTGATGAGGAGTTGTTCTGCATGCAGTCTGGCCAAAAATGTGCTGTATTCTACCACTCAAAATGGACAAGGAAAGAAATAGAATGCAAAAAGAATAGATGAGAATTTATATGCATGAAGAGATGATTATATTTACAAGAAAGACCAAGCAGTATTGGATGACTTTTCAGTTATCATTAGCGCATTCTTATCTCCTAAGTTACATCACACTATTCCTTCTTCTACCATGGAAAAGGTTATCTTCATCTTCTACACTTAATGCTGCTCTACAGTTACTAGGGACTTTCCTAGGTTTTACTCATGGAAGTTCATCCTCTCAGCCTCTTTTCAGCCTTTTACATCATTCAGAGAAACCTGCAACTACACTTGGCACTTTGCAAGGGGATCTGACAGCACACAGTAAGTTTGATGCTGAAAGCACAGCATATGTGGAAGACACTGATCAGCTGAGCCACATGGGTGTAGAGGACACTGCCTCTGGATATCACATAGATTTTTCTGCATACAAACCACCCTTGTAATATTCAGGCCTTCTTTCTTTTCCAAAAAACAGCACTTTGTTGTTAAAAAATGGTAGGAGAGGGAGAACAGGCTCACAGTATCTCCTGTTGAGGCATGTAAAAGAAGAAAGAGACTTCACTATGACAAGTATGCTTACTTTTGCTTCTGTTACAGCCTTGAAAGAGGGACTTTTGATTTGCTTTAGAGTGTTTACAGCTGCATTGGGTACTTTCTGGTGAAATGGGCAGCAGCACCTTTACAATTAGCTGCCTTTTTACCCAACTAGAGCATTTACAACACCATATTACTCTCAAGGCTTTCTTTACCCATTCATCTTTGTGTGTGTCAAACTCACACAATAGAAATTCCAGACAAAAAAGTCCTTGTAATTAATATTGCAAAAACAAATCTACAAAAAAGTACATTAAAACCATTACACAACTAGAAGAGTTTTCTACTTCTAATAAGATAATCAAAGTTACACAAAAAGATGATTAGTTTTACCTAAACATTGCATGTGACTACATTTTCTCCATTACCATGAATGTAAAACACCCCAGATAAAACACCTCCAATTTTCCTGCACAAGCTGATTCTGCAGTTCTGTTCCAATCCAAATTATCACAGCTCTTTAAAGCTAGTCTCCTCTGAACTAGCTTCCAGACATGCAATTTTGAAGTATATTTACAAGCTGCAAGCATTCTTTTGAAGATATATGGAAAGTGCCTATATAGATCATAACTAAAGTTGCCATCAAATTCTGAGAAGTGAAATTGGTTCACTGAGTTACATTTTAATATATGCTTCAAGCAATGGCTTAGCAATATATAAATATTTATTTCTATGCTTGAAAAACATAATAACCACCTTTTAAAAAAACAAACAACTTTGCCATTAAAAAAATCAATCTATTAACTTGTCTTAGGAATTTACAAATAAAAATTATACAATGATTTTACTTCTGGAGTCAGTAAAACTCTAATTTTGTTGTCAAAACAGCCCAAACAGTACTTAAAATTCTAAAACTTCTCCTAATTTCTGTCATGTCTTTAAAGCATGGATGCTTATAAATATGACATAAGCCAAAACATTACAATAGTTAAAGACTATATAATACAGAAGTATAGCTGCACCTAATTAAATATGGTACATGAGTCAAATAAGACAAATTTAACTCCAGCATTTGCACACTCGCCACTTTCCAATCCTGGTAACGCTTCTGGAGAACTGCCATATTGAGCCCTAAACATATATATAAGAAGAAAAACCACCCAGTTTCAGGTTCCCTCTTGTGTTTTCACAGTATTAATGTTTTCATAGTTCACATCATGCATGGAAACCCTACTGAAGTGACAACTCTACCCCAATGCAATGTGCTTCCCACACCCACCATCACTGCAATGTAAAGATATGCACCTATTTGCCAATACAAGTTTATTTTCATAATTTAATACTATTCTAGGCTGTCTAGCTTGGATCCTGAATATTTTTCATTTCTAAGTGGCACAGGCCTCACTGGTCTGCTGCCAATGTTCCTGATACATTCTCTCAAGTATCCTTAGAAGGAAATGAAAAAAGGCATTAACCTTCTCTTAAAAACAAGAGAAAGAGTACATTTAAACTAGATACAAACACAAAATATTCTTCCTAATAGAAAGAAACAATGACAAATTCTTCAACCCACACAGGCATACTATACTCTAAACAACTCGGAAAGTTAAAAAGAAAATCTCACCTATCAAACACTTCAGATACACTCCTCTTAAACACTACCTTCCTTTCAAGTATTTTATTTTATAACATTGATTAACAGGTTACACATTATCCCACATAACTGCCATAAACCTAACACTTCTCTGTATCTGTTTTTTCTATTTTTTTAAATTCTCATTGCTTGACTGAATTTTCATCTAGTCAGATAAATTTAATCTTATATTTGCTTTACCATCCTTATTTGTTGACAAATAATGTAATCTCCAATATTTCAGTATGCTATTAAAAATGTGAATAAATCATTACAATGTTATTCTAAACCCAGCTTTTAAACTTCAAAGTTATAATAAAGGAAAATCTAAATAGAGTGCAGTACCAACTGTACAAAGCAAATATACGAAGATGACAGAGCAAGCAGGACACAAAATAGTACACTCCTCAACACATACATTTACACAGAAAATGAGAGGTTGCTGTGCTTAAGTAATACAATGAGAAAATGCACTAAAATATCTACTAATCACACATATTGAACATTATGTTGCTGAAACTGACCTATTATCTTTATAAGTGAATGTAATTTAGCTGTTAATACCCAAGTTACATTCTGAGAAAAAAAATTCTCATCCACACCAGTATGACAGATTTACCCATAGTCCCATTTTCTAACTTTCCCAGGAGCAAAGCCACAAAGAATTACATGACTTATTAACGATTCTGCTAAAGAAAGGTGTATAAATTTTACTTTTGTTTATATAAAAATTTCTATTGGATACATAAAGTGTTAGCTTGAAAGAAAAACAGCACAAAATATTGACTTAATGCATCAGAAAAATAATACATTAACTCAGTAAACCACTGAGTAACTGAAACTCAGTACCTACTCAGTTTTTAAAATATCTCTGAGCAATAGCAGAGCATAGTTTCTTGCAATTAGAGAGAAAATATTTCACAGAGAATGAGTTTCATTTGCCTACTTTGGAAAACTTAACCTTTTGAACCATTCTTAGGGTATGCTGACCCCTAAAGGTTTGAAAATACTAAACCTGATTAAGCCATTACATGTTTGTATTATCAGAATACAATTCTCCACTAACTTAAACCATCATGATTATTTTTGTTTACAGAATATATGATTAAAAAACTTTTGAACTTCACCCAATAACAGCTCAAAATTCCATAAATTAAAATGTGTTTTTAAGTAGTTTATTTTACAGAATTATATAGGCAGAAATTCCTTTACATATGAAAAGCATCATCTACAAAATGAAGCATGTTTTTCTTTCTTCTAAGCAAACTCTCCAGGAGAAACTTGACATTTATTATTGTTTGAAAGAGAATATATAGTATAAAACTCAAAAAAAAAAAAGGAAGTGTGCAAGAAGCTATGAGGCTCTGATATAGAGAGAAATTTTGATGTGGACACAACTATTCCATTTTGTGTTTTTTAACCTACACATATTCACTTACTAGCGAAAATCCACCCTAAAGTCAGGGTGTCTTTTTTATGTCTTTCCCTTTTTTTCTTCTACATGTCACAATCTAATCACAAACTACTTCTGAAAATTCTCTTCTACAAAGTCAGTCAGCCAGTCATGTAATGTACTCTCAAATTTAGTGGGGCTCTTTTACCTCTTAGGTTTCTGTCATGAAACATGGAAGAATGTATCTGAGAACAATTATGTCTGGTCAACCAACTAAAAATACAAAAAGATACTTGCATCCTGATGAAGATGAAAACTCCATCAGCTGGGGAAGCTCTAAGTTAACCAAGCCCACTATATCTCCAAGCCTTTCTTTACTGTCTAAATTCACTTGAACTACTAATGAGAAACTCATTAGTATTAGTAGATGGCTTAATCATACCCAAGCCAGATGTGAATAGCCATGAAAATTACTTTAGGACAGATTTTCAGATTTATTGCTAACAACTAAAAAAAAAGGTTGGAAAGTAAAGTGCAATGTACAGACTAGGAATTTAAACAAGTCTTCTGAAAGTTATACAAAAACATTTTCAATAATCCAGAAAATAATGATGAAGCTTTATATTCACATAGCTGCTCTCTTGTTACTCCAAGTTCTTTTAAGGGGCAGTATGTGGTTGTGGTTTTTTTTTTTTTTCTTTTCTTCCACAGTCAGTCATATATCAGCAAGAACAAACACACTCCAGTCACTGCCTAGCACTGGTATAACACCTAAGGTTTCTTATTAATATCTTTAAAGTCCCTACCTTTTGACCAGTTCTCCATTTGTTCCTCTGAACTTGTTTGATCTGGCACCGAGTCCAGTTTTTGCTTGAAGGTTTCAGAGCTAAAACAAAATAAACTCTAGATAAATAAACTTGAAATAATATAATACACCTATACTTTGCCATCATTTGAGAGAAAATTTACAAAACAAAGTATTTTAAATATTTATAGCATCACAATGAAGTCTGCATACTTTAAAAGTCAGTGAAAATGTATATTTCTCAGCAAAATATTTTTCTTCACTCATCTAATTTTTATAATTGTTTTGTTCAGCTTTCTGTTGCATGTGATGTCTTTGTTGAAATACTTATTAGTTTGGTCTTTTCTTCTAGAGTCTGGTCTTGGAAGTACACATTACTGAGCACAGCCCAAATCACACTGAGCAGTCCTGCTACAGACAACAAGACTGCTCACTTTGGCAGTTATTACAGATAGTGGCTTCACTTCACAGCATTCTTTCTCTTCCTTTAATTTCCTAGATAAAATACAGGCAAAGTGATCTATGTCCACTCCAACTCTGAATTTGAAGTTCTTTCTGAACAGTTAAATTATTAATAAATTCCAAAATTTGCATGCATATTGCTTCAGTTAATTACATAGTTGCAATATTTCATATAAGATCTTCAAGAAGTAACCCTCAATAGGACTTACAGTAAAATGTTATGTCTATCAGTCATCATTTTGGGTGTTAAAATATATACTCTCTTATGTGTTAAAAATTCAGTTATACTCTGTATCGCAAGGACAGCTAAATAAGTTTGTAATCTTGGTAACATAGTAAGCTTACCACAAATTATATTACTTACTCAAGCACCTTTTAAGAAAATATTGTACATAGGACAATTTTTATCCTTAACTATGCATTGTGCTTATTTGGTATGTTTTCCCTCCCAACATTTTGTTTTACATTTTTTACATTTATTAAAAAGATACATGTGTTTTGAAGATACAGTGACTAGATTATGAAAACATTCAGACAGTTGTCATTGTGCTGAAAAATGTAAGAGATTAAAATAAAAAATTAAGTACATATTTTACAATTCAACCAAATTATACCAAGACACATACGCTAAATAATAAAGCAGCAGGAGAAATTATTTTGGCATACAACACTAAAAAAGCAATTATTTAATTTTTATATTTAAAATTGCAAAAAAATTTAATTGTACAAACACTTAAGATTCAACACTAACATGTACAACAAACACTCAAGAAATACATATTTATCTCATATTTGTTGTTGACTATAAATCTGCATGATAAAAAAATGCATAGGACTTGATGTGCTTAGGTCTTAACGAAAAATAAAAAGTTCACCTCATATCACAGAACACTGAGTCCCTTAAAAGAATCCCTCAAATTAAGCTGTAAGCTTCTTCTTCAATTCTATGTAACTGTGTTGATTTGAAGTTGGCAATCTTTTCCTAAGTTCCTCATTTACTTTTGGATTAGCTGAAAATATAGAGGGTTATTAATATCAAGAAATAGATTTCTGTCAATGAAGCCATTTCCCTACATATTGCACAAAAAGGTTCATAATAATTGCAGTATTTTAATAAGATATTCATATAGCAAGACATGAAGAAAATATGGTATTTAATAACCTCTGGAGTATTTTAAAACATGTCTTAGGGCCTTAATGTGTCTAGTAATATACTATTTAAAACCATAATTTTATCCCTCCACAATATACAGTCATTCTTCCTCGCCATTTACCCAGCTAATGAATGCCAGCAATTAGTAAAATGTAATCCCATTGCACAATCATTTTAATGCTTTTAGCACTCAGAAAAGTAAACACCAAATTAATACTGCTCAAGCCATATCAGATCCTAGCTGGAAGCAAGCAATTATAGTTCAGCTCCTCAGGTGTAATTAAATGATTGGAATGATTTAGTTCCATAAATGCAAGTTAATTCATAAGCAAGCAACAAATATACTGGGAGTAATTACAAGAAACATTGACAGTCTAAGCAGGGCATGTGCCTTCCTGTACCTGATATAGGAAAATGCTGCCCTCTCCCGGAAATAATAGACTATGGCACAGGAAAAATTTATGACTGAAGTCAAGAGGCTCATTTTACAGACTTTGCCTTCAAAGGTGAAACAGGTTCTGTCGACTAAAAGGAATTTTCTGGTTTAAACATAGAGAAAATAAAAAAAAATAGTTGATATCAGATTAAGGTCATCTACCAATCAAAGTAAAACGCGAAGATTTTTGGGGCTCCCTAGGGTGTGCCGATTAACTAATTAAAAAAAAAAAAGTCAGGATACAGAACAACAAAATATTCCAGGCACTGAGTATTTAAACTGGTTGCTCTGAACACAAACACTGCAATAGGTAGCTGACTTGTGCACAACACTTCCTTGTCCTTCAAGATTTACCTTTACAGAAGGTACCTTGAATATAAGGTATTTTTAGAACCAAAACTTATTGAACCATCATTATTCAGTGAGTGTTAAAAGTCAGCATTTCAAAAATAATAAGAAGTGGTCATTAAGGTTTTCACACAAGGAATCATGAGAAAAATTGAATACAATTATTATAAATGCTTACTTTCATTTGAAGACAATCTGCTAATAATCAATTTGTGTAATAATGAGAGGAAATTAAAGCTGGGGATTAAAATAAAGTGTACTGGCAGACCAAGAAAAAAATGGAAATACAAAATGAAACCATAACACAAATGCTAGAGGTAATTTTAAATCTAATTTCCTTATTCACTATTTATTTATCCACCTTGTGCTAGTGCAAAACTACTAGGACATGAAAGAAAGTGAAAATAAAAAAGAAAATGTCCCTATCAGTTGAATATAAAATGCAACAGTCACATGAAATTAATAGTTAAGTACAGTAATGAAAGAACACTAAGACCTAACTGTTTTGTCATCTACAGAAATAAGAAATCCTTTCAAATGCTGCATATAGCAGCATGGGAGAAAAATCACACACTATGTATCTGTTTTCCACACAGAGAAACTGTAGGAAAGCTGATTCAGAAGCACTTGATCAATGTAAAAGCCTTAAAACTGTTCTTTACCAACAGCACTTCAGCATAAAAATATTTTTTTTTTCTAGATCTTGGTATATTTCAAAACAAACCCAAGCTTTACACAAATACCTTTGGTGTTACTTTACCTACTGTGGAAAAGAAAAAATTTATTTTAAGAAGTCATATTATTAAAAGTTTAAAATGTACTGCACATTTGCTTTGCCCTTTGATGTCACAGTCCTATTTTTCTATTCAAATCTTGTACATTGTAAGTTAATTGCTTTTGGAAACTACTTATTATTCATGTAAAAATTAATGTGCCAATGTGTTTAAATCCTTTTAAATGACCATTCATGCATCTTTCTTCTTTAAGTACCAATGAAATCTGTCAAAGATATCAATGCAAGATGGTCTTAGACAAAGTTCTAATATAGATTTTTTCTGCTAACATAAGATTTTAATTTTCGTCAACTTTACTTAAATTCCATTAATTTTTTAAGCTGCTTTTAATAAATTCACAAGTAAAAAATTTTAGGCTCCATAGTCTGTCATTTGTGTTCCAGCTGACTTTATGAATATTAATAACAGTGTTATCCTGATTAAATAGGCTTCATATAAAATCCCTGTGAATCCTATAGCTCAGACATCTCATTTTTCCAACTCTTTATGAATTTGGATTCAGACATTAAACTGGAAAAAACCTTAAAAAACAGATTCAATGGTACATTGGTGTACCTTTAAGCAAAAAATTAGCTGTTCTAATGATTCAAATAATTAAAATTGATAGAACCACATATTGAGATTTCAGGTTTTCTGTACACATGCAACATATTTTAACTCTAATGAAAACATCAACACTTCACAGACAAAGGATTAAGAATCTATTATAAAATAATAATACCTGTCCTAATGCTTACCTTAAACAAACAGATGATATAATCTTAAATCTTCATACATGGAGTGCTGATTTGGAGAAGTATTTTCCAAAGATAAAGAAATTAGTGGATGCTTAATTACATAAGCATACACATGAAATACATGAACATTCTAGTTTACCACAGGAGCCCGGTGAAAAACAGCATAACTATTAAATGGTTCATACTTTTGGAAAACCAACCTCTTTCTTAAGAATATCAAATTGAAACACACAGGAGATACTAATATTATCCTAGAAGACTCATGCAGTCCCAGTTTCAAACTGTCAACTTCTTTCCATGCTTATATATTTGAATTATTTACATCCATGACAAAAATGGAAAATTAAGCTCACTGCACTGCCTTCACTTTTTAATATAGTGCTAACCCTTTCTGGAAAATATTCTGGAAAAACACCATTAAAATACTTTGCCTTTCAGTACCGTAGAATATGAATGGATTTTCAGAGAAAAAAAAAAATCTAAACAAAATAACAGCTTATTTAAAAGGATAGCATACCAATCCTGGTTCTAATTATTCATCAACACAAGCACTTCAGAAGAATAAAAACAAGAGGTATACAAAAGTAACATGTATCTGCAAGATAGAAAGCATACAGTGCAGTTCCAAATGTCTTTTATTACAGCTGTAGCAGTATTTCCTCTCTCTGAGGCAAAAACCCCAACGTCTTGAGTGTCTGCAGAATAACAGACACCATACAAAGGAGCTCCCCAAGGTAACTCCCACCCCACAAAAGCACCAGAGCAGCACCAGCGCCAGTGCATTCTCTCCCTGGGCAGGACTGAGAAGTCCATCTTCTGCGCTGGAGTTCAGCTACCGAGTCCTCTGCTCAGGAACAGAAAGACTGCTGGGACCACTCTGTATGGAGACCCAGTGACTGCAAACCCCCATTCCTTGGTCTTGCCTTGGGAGAATTTGAAGTCAACCACTGAATCATGGCCTTAGCTGCTGTGACAGGGTGCAAATGTTTGCTGCTCGTGACCAAATTCACCCATTCTTCACAAAAAATCCTCCAGTCCTGGAAGAGTTTTTCCACACAGAGGGCTATCCCAGCTGCCTCACCTCTGGTGGGACAATAGACCAAGTTCCACTACTCCTTGAAACAGCACTACGTCTGTTTTTGTCTCCCTTAGAGATTCAGTTAACAGTTGCCATTGACAGTACAGGGATGAAATACCATAACGTTTATGAAGAGAATGAATTTTAGCATTATTCCCATAAGATTAATTAGATTGTCAGAATCTTCTAAAATATCCTGAAACGTTTTGCCTCGGGGCACACTAAACTAAAAAACTAACTTAGGAGGGTACTCTACATAAAAACCAGTTACCTTCTCAAAGCATTTTCCCCAGGGAACAAACAGTCAGTTTTCTTAGCCCAGGTGGATGTCAAGTCTTGACTAAATGACACACTCCTCTAAAAAGAGTCACATTTGCTCCCTATCTTAGGAAACTTTATGGCGTATCAGAAATCTAAGGCAACTCAAAGTAAGTTAACTAGTTTTGGACAGTTATAAAAACACTAGTCAAAGGATAATAGAGATAGCTAATTCAAGTATTTTTTACAAGTGTAATAATACTCATCTGTTAGATACTTAAAAGTTGTGAAATAAAACATACTTTGATTACAGAGGAGATACTTATTGTATTGTATTACTTACATATGCTTTTAAATACAAGTAGTACATGCAAAATATTCTATTTCTTTTAAAAAGAATATAAAATATAGACACGTGGATTAACCTTAAAAATGGATGAATGTAGCATGAGTATTATTTCAAATTTATAGAATCCCACATCGCTAAAAAGACTTCAAGATTTTGGTTAATAGAATTAACTTCATTATCTGGAAACTTGATAAAAACATCTTCCCAGAGAGCAGAGTGAAGCTGTTATCCCTGGCTTTTCTTCCCTACTGATTCTTGATCCAAGAGGAGATAAGACATATGCAGTTGGTTTCAACTAACCTTTATAAATGAAAAAAGACATGAAGAAACAGGGGGCAGATAATTTTCCTCTGTTGCTGCAGCAATTTCTTCATATTGTCACTACAAAAATGGCATCTGGTGCTTTTAATGATGGCATAGTGTAAGCCAAAGAGCACTTATTGTCTTTGTCATGCTTTTGACAAAGGCACAAGAGGAGACATAAAAATGCATGAAACCAACTGGTTTATAATAGGTTTCACCTATTCCTAAATTAAACTTAGTTGGATAAAGGACAGGTACTTTCCTCTTTATTTTTTCTCCCTAACTTGAACTAAGCGTCTTCAAGGGTCAATTCTCTCTCTGTGCATCAGGAAATGTTTATGTGCATATTAGTTCACCAACAGCCCCCTATCTCTTCTGCCCTCTCATATATTCTCATTTTTACATTAACAATCTTCATTTGCATTTTATTTACTAAACAATCTTCAGCCTGTTCTGTTGTCTTGTTCCCCAGTTTTAGCTGTCTTTTGTCCTCCAACTCTTTTCTTTTTCCTTAGTTTTGTCTTCTCTTTGACAATACATGCCTTTTACTTTCCCCTCTGCTCACCACCTCTTTGAAATGCAAAGAAAACTGTAGAGAATCTTGTCAAAGACTGCCTTCCCTTTTTTCACAGCTTTTCTCGTCTTGCTGTGCATTCTGTGAAGCAGCTTTATTCTGTGACATTCTAACTAACATTCTTTTCATTCTCATAATGAAACTATGACATACTTTCATCAGGTGTGAACAGCCATTTATTTACCCATCCTTCAGTTTTGTTGTAAACTCTTCACTGGCCTTAAAACTCAGTATATATAATATATATATATATAATATATATATAATATATATATTTTCATATATATTATCATAGCCAGATCTCCATTTCTAAACATTTTACAACCAGACTGTAATTTCCATAGCCTTTAGAGATAGGAACAAATATTTGCATTTTAAACTACCTGTTGTCTTATCTGGAGCCAAAATAATATTTTAGTAGAATCAGCATTACATAGCAGTAAGGGCTACCTGTGTAGTACACTCTGTTGACAGGATCATAGTCAGCAGACAAGGGGAAGTCATTAAACCCCCCTATTTGGCTCATCTGAAGTGCTGTATCCGGTTTGACCTGCTCATGCATATCCTGAGCTAAGTCCAGTAGGTGATTCAAGATGATTAGGGTCTGCAGGACATGAGTTATGAGGAGTTTGCAAGAGTTTGATTAGTTGGTTTTAAGAAGAAAAGGCTAAATAGGGATTTTATTGGGTTTTAGCTGCCTTGTGAGCAAATATAGAAAAGACACAGATCCTTCTGAGAGAGACAAGCTGTAACACAGAAAACTCAGCATTATGGGTAAGAGCAAATTTTTCACAGTGAGTAAGGTCACTGGAACTAGTTGCTTAGAAAGGTTACAGAATCTCTGTAGCTGGATATGGGCAAAACTCATCTGGATATATCAACCAAATCTAACTTTGGAGATTGCCCCATTCTGAACTGGATGATATGCAATTCCTGCCTACCTATTTTGTTATTCTAAAGACTGCGACAAAATAAACCCACCAGAACTAGACTTCCTTTAAGAGAAAAAATACTAGGTTGCTTTCTGCTTTACAGACTAGGTCAGTAGAGCCCCTGACCAAACAGCAGTGATACACAACCGAAGACCACCCATGTGACAGACAGGCTAAATGCCAACAGGGAGGAAACAGCGCAACAGCAGCATGTGCACAGCATTTTGAGTCTTACTGGTCTTGAGCAACAATTCTCTTCAGTTTACTACATGACTGGATGATTTGGCATTAGGCTAAATGTCAAATATTGGTTTGCACATCTTCCTTCACTAAGCCAAAAATGGACCACTGATACAGCTATTTTACCTGTCTTTTCTGAAAGCTCTGGCCTCAAGCCCCACAAAATCCATCCTTTCCCGACTTGTAAAAATGTCACTGTGACTAACGAGCTCCAAAGTTAACTATGGAAATTATTCAAGAAACATGAGTCTACAGTGCTTATGTTTGCAAAATTAATCGTACGGTATACTGAAATTTCCAAATCCCCAAATCATAATTTCTTTTATCACAGAACTAAGTTGCTAGCCCAGATTTTACCACAAAAGTGAAAATAAAATCACAAAACATTATATGCACATGAAAACGTGAGGTAGTAACTCAGTGCCAAATTCAAAAACCACTAGTACAAGTAATGGCATTAAGAAGAAATTATGTCTTCTGCCAAAAACATTCCAATTGTTTGGCTGCCTTCACAGAAAGAAGTAAGACTGAACAGGGACTCAATGAAGAAAAGCAGCAGAGAAGCAGAGAAACTTGATTCATCCAGCCAACTCACATTTCTCAAGGTACCTTCAAATAGCACCATTTTTCTGACAGTAAAAATAAAAAGCATAAAGGCAACAAACAGTGTTGATATTGGAGCCTGACCAAAAACTATCATGAACACTGAACATGCAGAGGCCTGTCAGAAATGTGCCAACCTTTCAAGATTCAGTCCTGTACATGGGGGACTGAGAGAGGCCTGTAGGTTTCCTGCAGGGAAATACAGACCACCAGTTATGCATCTGTCAGGCTGTTTTAAACAGCACGAAAACACAGATACGCCTCCACCACTGTCATAAAGCACCATATGCAGTGCACTGGTTCTGCCCAAATTATGCAACTGCCCCAATTCTATAGTGTATGCCTCAGCTGCGGAAAGGAATCACATCACCTGAAATTTCACAAGCTAAAAAGCTCAGAGAAATAAAATAACACTGACTCCACATTAGCCCTATTTGTTCTTT